GTCCAGGATAAGTTATCTCTGTCATTCCTTTCATCATCCAACAAAGACACCATTTGGCTTCATTACTTTAGACTAGGACATCCATCTTTTGGAATTCTGAAAAYTATGTTTCCCTYMTWRTTTAAAGGATTGAGTGTTGAATATTTTCATTGTGATGTGTGTGAATTTGCAAAATACAAGCGTGTGCCCTTTCCAATTAGTAACAAAAGAAGTTCAGTTCCATTCTTTTTGATCCATAGTGATATATGGGGACCCTCTACAATTCCAAATGTGTCTGGCTCACGATGGTTCGTCTCTYTTATTGATGATTGCASTAGGGTCTCTTGGATCTTTCTTCTTAAATCTAAATCAGATGTAAGTAGTGTACTCCCAAATTTCCATAACATGATYCAAAATCAGTTTGGGGTCAGAATCAAAAGATTTAGATCGGATAGTGCACGAGATTATTTCAACCAAACTTTATCCCCATATTTTCAAAAAGAAGGGATTATCCATGAATCCTCCTGCATTACTACTCCACAACAAAACGAAGTAGTAGAAAGGAAGAATGGTCATCTACTAGATACAACCCGAGCCTTACTTTTCCACCAGCATGTTCCAAAAACCTATTGGGGAAGCTGTGCTTACAGCCGCACACATTATAAATTGATTACCTTCGAGGGTGCTGGAATTTAAAACACCAATGGAAACACTTTCTCAATTTTATCCCGATCTACGTACAACAAATAATCTCACCCCAAGAATCTTTGGATGCATTGCTTTTGTCCATGTCCATAGCCATAATAGAGGGAAGTTRRATCCAAGAGCCGTCAAGTGTATTTTTGTGGGTTATTYGTCCACCCAAAAGGGTTATAAGTGTTACCACCCACCTACCAAAAAATTTTGTCTCTATTGATGTCACTTTTGAAGAAAAAACACCATATTTCACTCAACCTTATCCTCACGGGGAGTCCTTGTCATTCATTGAAGATAAGACAGAGATTTGTTCCCGCTTGGTCTACGTACAGTTTCTCAATACCCAAACTCAACATCTATACCAGTTCAATCCGTATCTGCACCTATCGAACCACCTCAAACCAAACCAACTTCTTCACCCATTCATATCAGACCCATGATAGAGAATGATGAATTTTGTGACTCTATGAGATTGCAGGTATATTCAAGAAGAAGAGACCGGGATCCTAATCTTGTGTAGGTTCAAGATTCAACTCCTAATCCTGAGGATGAGGTAAATACAGTTCCAGAAATTTCTTTTGAATTAGCATCTGACCAAGATCTTCCTATTGCCCTTAGGAAAGGCGCAAGAGAATGCACTAAACATCCCTTATATCCCTTAGAAAATTTTTTGTCCTTTAAAAAATTCTCACCATCACATAGGAGTTTCCTAGTTHGTCTAAACACCATTCATATTCCTAATACTTTATCTAAGGCATTATCTGATGAGAAATGGAAAGATGCCATGAGATAAGAGATGCAGGCTCTAGATAAGAATCAAACATGGGAAATTGTTGACCTAYCACYAGRAAAGAAACCCGTGGGCTGCAAGTGGGTTTTCACAGTAAAGTACAAGTCAGATGGCTCTCTAGAAAGATACAAGGCAAGACTTGTGGCAAAGGGATATACACAAACCTATGGTATTGACTATTAGGAGACATTCGCTCCAGTGGCTAAGATGAATATGGTAAGAATTTTGTTGTCACTAGTAGCTAACTTCGACTATTACTTGGAGCAATTTGATGTAAADAATGCTTTTCTTCACGGTAATTTAGAGGAGGAGATATACATGGATATTCCTCCAGGCTTCAAAGGAAATCTAAAAGGAAATAAAGTTTGYAKGTTGAAGAAAGCACTATATGGTCTCAAGCAATCACCTAGGGCGTGGTTTGGAAGATTTACTAAAGTTATGCTTGCC